AATGCCTGTAGTCGTAGCAGGTCTGGCAGAATGTATTCCATATTCTTGAGCTGTTGAACAATAAATTCCTACTAGCACAATGTCAGGGTTGTTACTTCTTTAGAAAAACCATGGATTTAAACAAAAGCTGCCTAGTCTCATTCAGAAACATATTTGGAGATACATAGATGTGGGCTTTGAGTTGAATATCTTATAAATTGGGAGGCTAGCATTTGGATTAAAAATTGTATCCATCCATAACCAGATCAAGTCTTTTAGTAGCTCAGACTGGGTTAGAAGTTGAACTTGCTAGGGTAAGGGAAGGTACAGAGCTTCCACATCTATGTCAGTCCTTTGGAAATGCCTAAAGTATGTTCTGAATTTTCAAAATCAGTAATTCTGAGACCGATTTACTATGAACACACATGCCTGCATAAGAAAGAAACACAAGGAGTAAGGGAAAGAGGGATCTTTGATCTTACATTAAAAAAAAAAAAAAAAAGGCGAGAAGGAAGATGCTATTTTTATTTATTACCATGCTTTTTCTTATTTTGACCAGAAATGATTGTGACAAAGTAAGTAGAAATGGGAATATAGTTTTCCAAGTGTTTGCAGAGTTTGTAGGCTTTGTGGCCATTCATTTTTTTCCCTTACATTTCATAGGATATTCTCATTATATTCTTGAAATACTCTTCTCAACACCTCTAAAGGTTTCGCCGCATTTACCTGAGGTGCTAATATCTCTCAGCAGCTCTCTTTCACTGTGCTTTTATTGGTACACGAAATCATCCAGTCTGTTGCTTTTCCTAATCATTTTAAAAGCTTTCTCAAAAGGTACTAATCCTACAGTTTCAACTAAAAAACTGTGAAGGCTCTTCGCATCAGTATCTGTGATGTTAAAGAAACCTCTCGCCTCATAAACTGCTCTTCTGCTTTACGTTACCCACTGTACCAGGAATCCTGCAGGCAGGCTGGGTCACCAGTTAGCAGATTCTCTTCATGAAGCTATCTTGGCAGTAAAGTGCCTGTCCTTTGACATTCTGGTTTCCAACTCCTTCTTAACTTCTCTTTTTTTTCCCAGTCAGACTTTGAGGATTACTTTGCAAATATCCAAGCCCTGTTCCCTTTCAGCCACACTTAGAGGAAACCAAGTTTATACCAGAAAGAGGCAGTCTTTTTACCTGGTGCTGGGTTATGGACTGTATTTTCTCCTCACATGCTTCCACCAGTTTCATTTATATCCATATGTATCCACCATCATCTCATTTTATCATAACAGAGCTTTGTCCGTTGATGATGCTGCTCACACACTGGAGCACCCTCTTCTAAAAGCTAAGGGATTGTTTTCACATCACCAGATATTCTGATGGATCTCTAGCATGACTATTTTATAAATTCCAGTCAATATGATGTCTTTCTAGTGCAGCAAAAGTGAAGCAGCTGCTGCTCTAGGTAACGGCATCCACTGTGCTTGCATGCAGGAATTTCATCAGGTTTCACTACGCAATGTTGCTTCAAAGACAAATTATAAAACGTGTCCATCACATTCAGGACTGTACATACAGTAACTCCTGAGAATGAGAGTACAGTGATTTCAGTTAATTTAGCAAATGGTTCGTTGTGAGTGGAAGAATGGTAATGCATATTTAGTATTTCTGTTCACTAGCGCAGTTATGTTAGAGGAAACCCATTCAGGCTGGAACTGGGTCAGTCTCTTACGGATCACATGTTGACTCACATTAAAAAAAAAAAAAAAGGAAAAAAAAGAATTGCTGCAATGCCATGTTCAGTGAATTCACTTTTTAGTTTTTTTCTGTATTGCCAAAACTCAACACACTGGCTTTTATTTGTGTTTTTCTGTTTCTGTTATGGATAGATAAACCCCAAACTTCTGCCAAAGCTAGCTCTAAGCTAAAGTGGTTTATTTTTCCTGGATGTGGAGCTAACAGAATAAAAAATACCATTAGGGAAATAATTGAGCACCTAGCACAGACAAACCCTGGTTTTGGCTGCTCTGTAAGCACTGTCATAGCAACAGCAGTAATATTATACTATATTATACTATAATATTCTCCTTATCAGCCTCCCAGTCCAGCCAAAGGCCCAGAGCTGTGACAGTGATACTTTGGGCACACAGTAAAACTTGCTGTAAGCTACTGCTGCTGGGCAGCACTGAGTCATGCAAAGACACTCATGCTAGCGTGGGGATCTCTCTACCACCCGGTGTTGTGCCATGTAAATATGACATCAGATCTCTCCTTTAAATCTCAAAACTATTCTGGTCTAAAAATATCTCTCTAAATCCTTAAGACCTTATGTACGAAATGCAAAGTACCAATTTCCAACCCGTTAGTGCTGAAAACTGATGTACTCATCTAGAATATCCCCAAGCATGATTTAGTGTGGGTGACTTCATGGGGGCTTCTCTGTAGAAACAACAATGTGGCAGTGGGATAAAGTTAGAGGATAAATTAAACACAAAACAGACTGGGTTTGGGGCATCCTGTGATCAAAATAATTGTAAAAATCTCTGTAACAAACAGTGCTGATAATGAAATCTTTAAAACAGTTCATTTTCAGCCCATTAAATTTTACGTTGTAAATTTAACTTTCATTAAGCCTTTTAAATCAAGTAAAACACTGGAACATCTTGTGCATGTTGTCAAACTCCCTAGACTTGTGAAAGAAGGGGAACCTACACTTTCTTTCTAATAGCAGCTCCTGGAGTCTTGTACCATGTCCTCTTGCTCCATGAAACAAGACTGAATATATTTTCTAGATACCAAGGGTAAACAAGCGGTACTAACGACAGCAAAATAAATACCAGCAAAAGAGCTGGGTATATTTTAATTTAAAAAAATATTTTCAAAAATTATAACATCTGTTGGAAAGTAGCAGGGAATCTTTCCCTGCTTTCCCTGTAAACTAAAAATGTTACCTAAATTATATTTTTGTTGATTTGGATGAAAACATCACAATTCTGATATTGCAATTCATTTTTCATTAACACTTTGACACTTTCCTGTCTCTAAAAGCACTGAAATGTCTGTGACCATGTTCTTAAAGACTATGATGTTCTCTGTTTTCAACCAATTCCATTCTTTATAGCAAGGACATAGTTGAATACTGCTCTGTCACTTGTGGTTTTTTAACCTGTATGACAGTATGCAGTTGGATGATGTGACGTTAGGTGAGTCTAATATGAGGCAAGCAAGAATATTTTCCTTTGTTACCTTCACTAGAAATTCACATCAACTGCCAGGAAATAACAAGGTTAGTGGTTTGCATGATATACTAGGACTGGGTTTCGTTATTTTATTCCTCTGAGTAAATCTTCCAGGCCAAGTAGCTCTGTTGATTTGATAATCAATAGTGCCTCACTTTTTAAGTCATCACATTCAAACCAATACGAGATATTACCAGAAGAACATGCTACTCAGCAGGAGTGAAAGGTGGTATAATATAATATCTTTCAGTATACCACAGGCTTCTCTTCCCGTTGACTTTAATTTGCCACAGAAAGCTTTTCTTATCCAAAAATTTTATTTTGATATTCAAGTCACTTCCCCATAGTAAACTTTTTGGGGTTGGTTACATACTGAAACTGCTAGCAGAAGAAGTGATAGGAAAAATCAAAAGCAAAAAAAAATCATTACTATAAGGAAATCACCATACAATGGTACATAACTAATAAACACATCTCACAATAAAAACAGGTCTCACATGTTGTAGATTCTTTTGCTGATGAAATCCATCCTTAGAGCCACTGACTGACAAGAAATTGCATTGCCTCCAGCCTTATTAGCAGCAGATCACAATGTGATTGATGGCAGTGGCCTGGAAATTACACTACTTTTTTACAAGGACAAAAAAAGTGCAAAAATGCAGTCTGACATCTATTTTAACTTTATTTTTGTTTTGTATTTGGGGCATATGCAATTGGCTTCACTTCTCCTTTCATTGCTCAGAGAAATTGTTCTGAGGAATAGCTGCAGTGTTTCTGCAGTCCTACAGATTGCTTTCTGACCTTTCCCTGTCCTTTGCTTAAGCATAAATTCTCTTTTTTTTTTCTTCCACAGCTGTCCTAGCATCATACAAGCATTTCTGAGAAAACAATTAATTTTTGTTCCTTTAAAAACCAAACTCTCTCATTCCTTTAAACAAAAAGAGCGAAGGTCAAATGCTGAAATGGCTATGCACAGCGTGTGGCAGCACTGTCATGTGGGGGATCCCCCAGGGAGAAAGCATTCCTCCTTTGGGTATTGAAGTGCTGTGGATCAACAGTAGGAGAAGAAATTGCCCACCATCAAGAGAGTGTGGCCAAAAATAAAATTAAATAGCTGGTGCTGTGATTCATGTGCCTTCAGGTGTGCTGGAAGGGTAAATTCAAAGCTTCCCACTTTCTATGCAGTTACTCAATCTGCATCCAAGGATGATGAACACAGTATATACACTTTTTCCTTTCTTTCAAGTAAAGCTCAGATTCACAGTGTGAATTATTGCAATCCTTATGCCAATACCTGAACTGAACTCCTTCATGTTCATTTTTATATTTGAGTGAACCCCGAAAGCCCTTACAGTAGTATAGTCATGGTCAGATTTCCTTCCTTTCTTGCTCCCTTCTCTACCTCAAAGAGAAAAATCAGCTTTTTACTAGGCTGAGTGGATGGAAAAAAGACATACCAGATCTGGTGCTACGGCACATGGGTAAGGCAGCTCTGCACCCTTCCACAGAGTCTTAGACTGACACTTGACCATCTCCAAATTCTGCCCTGGTTATACCCATTCAATTCCCTTTATTGTGCTGGTTGCAAATACATTTCATTGCTTTGCTGTAATAAATGGGGAGGTGCTTGTATGAGTGCTTTAAGGTAACTAACTTCTTAGTTTTCATTGTTCGTAATCCCAGAACCTGGAAAATCAAGGCAATGTTCCCTCCCACCCCTCAAAAATTCTGCTGTACACAACATGATTGTTATCTTTTTGTTAGCTGGCCGTTATATCAGAAATTTCCCTTGGGTTGGGAATGTTAGGCTCCCAGTCTGGTTAAGTCTGAATGCTGCAGTCAAGTTTTTCTGTAGATCAAACTTCAGGACTTGGGTCTTAGCTTCTATTGAGTAAATAAATATATATACTCACAAAAAAATATATACTCTGTAAAGCTATTCCATTCTGCTGTCCTGTCAATACTGCCTTATTAAACATGCACAGTGGTGCTCGAGTGCTTTGAAAATTGCATTTCACTTAAGTTGCAAGAATTCTTTTATTGGAAAATTTTTTTTTTCCTTTTTAAAGCAAAACAAACCTTCTCCATACTAATTACATATCTCAAAGAGATATCAACCTGATTATAAACTGAACTTGCCAGCCCACTTGCCATCCATAATAAACTACTTATAAAATGCAAGGATTTCTTATTCTGTATGCAGAAAGCAAATAAATCAGGGTAATAAGTTACAAAATACTAAATCCTGGCTCAGAAAATATGATAAACTTTCAATTTCTTTGTCAACTAACTATAATAGGCCTGCTCTGGTGTCATTGCTCACTGAATGCAGATGTTTTATGAAAGATGAGTCGAGCAGCTTCAGCAACATTGCCAGCTGCTGCATGCCTGTGCAAAGGCAAGTGAGCGATTTCAGGTTTTTGCGCCAGACACCCGTGTGCAATATTTATACACCTGCATGCTATCGGAGTAGTATTGGCACCTCACAAGCTGGTAAGGTATTTATCCTTACAATAGCTCTGTGAAGCAAGAAGGTGTTTTTATTACAGTAATGCAGAAAGCGAACAAGATAATGAGGGAAGCAAGGAACTGCTCGCTTTTAGAGTGAGTGGATACCTGTGGTACAGGAAGGAGTTGAAGCCAAATCTCACCTCTCAAAGTTGTCACTCTGAATACTGTGCAGTCATCAAATGGCAGTCTCTAATATTTCTCAAATGGATCTTGCAAAGCTGCAAGTTTTTCTCTGAGGTTACCTAAATAGGACCTCTAAAGACTCCTCAACCTCTAAAGACGCCTCAGCACGAAATCGTGAAACCTGGTCTGTTGTATATTTGACACTACATTTTTCTTCATCCATCCTGTTTTATTTGTTGGGAGGGGTTTAACCATTATGGATATTTCCATTAGAAAGGGAGCTGGCTTTTCATTTAGATTCAGCAGAGAATACACAGCGCAGGTTGCCATTCCCGTATTCTGAGCCTGCTGTCCTAGACATCAGTTCAAACAGCTGTAGCTATAGAAAGATCTATAGTAATTTCAGATCAGTGCAGAATGAACCGCAGCTGTGATTTTCCTGACATTTTTAGGCTTTCCTTGGCATGTGCACTTCTGTCCAGGTATAGCAAGGTAGAATAAAAGGCACCTGTTTACAGGGCTATTGCAAAATAAGGCTCAGAGCTCAGCCTTGCTTAGGTATGCCAAACTGCTTCCCGGCAGAATCTACCTGTTGGCATTGACGAGGGAGGCTTGAAGGTGTAATGATTTTCAGATAGTGTTTGAAGTATTACAAAAGAAAGCAGAGGGTGGTGCATGGAAACATCATCCACATTTCAGCAGCAGGGTTTGTGCTGCATTTTACCCTTTTTATTCAAGCAGCTTGAATCGTTTTCTGAATGAAGGACTTAGATATCCCTTCTATCAGAGCTTCAGGAAGATGATACACTTGTGACCTCCAAGTAGACAGTTTTTTCATTGATCAGCCTTCTTATACCTGCGTTCAATATAGAGAAAAGTATCCTTTAGCTTTTTCTAATATTTCCTAATAGTTTAAACAGCCTGCTGCTGTGAGCTGCTGAGCACCTTGCAGCCCTGCTGCAAGGACTTCATTCAGTAAAGAGTGTAATCATGTGCATCAACCTCTTTGCTGAGCTGGAACTTGAGGGGATCCAATATCTTCCTGTTGAGGGCCTAATACACTCACACAGCCAAAGTGAACCTTCCTCTTATCCTTCCTCTTGAAAGAGGTGGTGCATGTGAGGAGAATTTCAAGGCGCATTACAATAGCTTGTACGCCTGTAATAATACAGCTATACTGAAAATTATTTTCTCAGTGCAAATCAAGTTAAACATACAGAGCATTCTTTGCTCTGTCATGAAACCCTTTTGGGAAAAAAAAAAATCCTACCATTTCAGAGAGCACCATTTACTTAAAGCTTTCTTTGTAGTAATGAACATTTAAAGTAGCAATTCATAACATTTACAGCTGTGGAAAATGCGGTGCATGCTTTCCAGTTCAGCCCCAGAGCAATGCTAAAGTCAGGACTGAAGGTCCCAGTATTCCCAGTGCACGAGGCCCTGGGCAAGCATACCGCCGGGCAATCCTGAAGATCACTCCTAAAATAAAAGGCATGACAAGCGGTAAAACAGGCCGGAGGCGAACATAATTTTGCATCGGTATGCCGCGTGCGTACACGGTCCTTGCCAGCAGAGTGGCAGTGTCAAACGGCAGGGCTGCCTGGTGTGCCGAGACCCGGCACGCCAGCTCTGGCGAGCAGCTCTGCCAGCGCCGCAGCAGCGTAATTGATACAGCATCTGCCTGAGGAGCAGCTTGCATGAGCTGGAGGCAGAGGTTGAAGAAGAATAAATTAGTAGTCATCGGGATATTTTTAAGGCAGTCTTGCAACTACTTAGAGCTACACTGTATACTGCTTTAGATTTTTAAGTGCTAACACATTTTTTTCAACACTGCTGTTAACAGGCATCAACAATTTGGGGAAGTATTTTCAAAATAGGGCCCTTCACTTTTAATCCAGGAGTACTTAAGCTGAGTCTACTGCAGAATATAGTTGTTAAACTGAATTGCCTGTCCCATAACTGTTTCAGGGTGATTTAAGGTTTCTCCTATAAAATGGCAGTTATAAATCTATCAGAATGATCAAATTATTTATAGCACCTTGGGACCACAACTTGACTCCGTGTTTTATATGGCCACATAGTGACAGTCACTATGATATTTTGAGTTTTGGAGAGTTTTTATACGGTAACAGGAAAACATAAAACTTTTCAAGCACTGAATTTAGCAAAATTCTAGAAAGAAGCATCAGTAAAGTCTATTATTATTTTACCTGTCTTCTTATCTTTTCTCTGCTCAGCTACTCTGAATAAAGTCTGCAGGCTCATTCCTGCCTTGCTCTGTATCACTGCACAGATTGTAAAACGGACATCTTGCTTCATATGTTTTGCGATAAAGCCTTTGCTTAGAATTGCATGAAGCCTCTAAATGCTAAAAGGGGATAAAAATTATTTTTTTTTTAATAGTGTGTTGATTTTTCAGAAGTTTAGATGGGCAGTTTTGTACCAATCTGTGGTAACTTTGCATTGTGTAGGAAGATAGTAAATGATGAAAGATTTTTTTTAAAGACTGGTCACCTCTTTAAGCACTGCTTATAACTGATCTTTAAATGCAGTACTCGCATGCTATGCTCATAATCTTTATTCACCAATTCTTTAATCCCTTATGAAAAGTTCATAAACATACCTTCTCAATTAAGTTCACATGTAATTCAAAAATTTGCTTTAATGATGTTGTCCCAAACAGCAAAGCCTCTCCTGCACCTGTCCAGTCACTAAATGAATGACTGACATAGGAAGGCAGTCCAGCAATCCCCAATAGACTTAGTAGGTTATATGCTACCGATGGTAGGCAACTGTGCTGTGATTCTCGTAGGAGGCTGTCAAAGTCAGCCTTCGCCAGAAGAATATCAACCTTGAATTATGGTTTAATGTTAAGAAATAGTCAGGACTGCATTATTATGAGAAGTAATAGCAATGCTTTTTCAACTGAAGGTATTAATTCTGCCAAAAGTAGTTTTATTTTCTGTCAGGAGTATTGAAACGTGACATTTTGTCTCAGGTTGGTTTGAAAACTTTGTCTGGGTAGCACCTCCTGGGAGCTACAGTTCAGGTGTCTCTTGCCTTATTCCCACTGAGTCAAGCTCCCTAGTTAATTTTGTCTTCCATAAGGGCATCCTGGTGATGCAGTTCTCATGAAGGATTGTGCTAGCAATGGATAATTTCCTAGCATTGTGTGCAATCCTATTTCAAATCTTTCAGGTGCTGGAATTGCCATCATTCCTTTGTGAGGTCCTTCCAAATCCACTCAGATCTGCTAGTCAGAACTGCTGGTTTTCCATTTCCTTGACAGTGTTTATTTACTGTGCCCCTTAAATCACTCTTTCTTGTATCTTCTTTTTTTGGAATGTTATCTGCTGCAAGACCTCAATGAGAATAAACCTAAAGCATGGTTCTTCTGGCCTGTAATATTGATATGAGATACAGGCATAGACTTTCTGTACCTGTCTTTCCATTGTTCTGTGAATCCATGTACCCACCAATAAAATGGAGATTGTCCTTTTCATTCGCATTGGAAAATAGTGAGACTCTTGACTTAATATTGGCAAAGTGCTTAAATAATGCAGCAGTAGAAACATGTATAGATTAGGACTGGTTAAGTCAGTAGCAATATGTTTCATTCAAAAGGTGTCAGCGAGTTTAATTCCTCTTGTTTCTTTTTTTTTTTTCCTCTTATGTTCAAGATGTTGGAGCATTTTTTGAAGAGGGAATGTGGCTTCGTTACAACTTCCACTCCCCAGGGACTAGCATGAAGGATTTAGTTAGCCGAACGCTTTTGAGTTCTACAGATCCTGAGAGTATAGCGCCCGACCTCAACTTGAATAAAGAAGAGCTCAGCTTCAGCTTCAGTACCACCAAGTCCCCTTGTGTCCTATTGTACATCAGCTCCTATACCCAAGACTTCATGGCTGTGCTTGTCAAGCCGTCTGGTAAGCAACTGCTCTGGGCTCTCTCCATTGAAGGCACAATTGATAATAACACCACGCTGGCATTCAGCTGAAGGTCTGAACTAATGAGAAAGTCTCTTCATCCTTGTCATGTAAAAGTAAAGTACATGGGACCTGAATCTGTGTTCTGCTGTACTAAATTTTGTACTGATGTAAAACTGTTCAATTCAGTGGGGTTTCACTAGCTAACCCTCCCTCTCAAAACAAAAAAAAACCAAACCCCCAGAAAACCTGCTATAAGAGTGAGATCCATGCCATGAACTAACATTATGGAGGGGATAAGTAGGCATCCACATGTAGGCACCTTAATCACTAAAGTCATGGCAATATCACCAGTAGTCAGTGGAAAGTGTAATGTACTGTTATTCTGAAAATCTGACCACCCAATGAGGTGGCTAATATATGGATGTAGCATAGTATATGAGGTCCTAAAGATTCTGGTGACGGTTGAAGGTTGGATGTGGACCATTTTCTGGTACAGTATCAAAACAGAATATATCTCGATTCCAAACAGTGCCTTAGTACCCCATGAAAATCATAATTGGGATGATTTTACTACCATTCTCTTCTATGGGATAAGTTAGTATAAGTATTCCACATGCCACTCAAATTTTTCGCTTCATGGGGAAGATAGAAGGTGCATGAGAGAAATCTCACGTCAGACATCTAAACTATAGTTATAAAGGTCTAGGGCTGCTCTTTTGGGCCAGAATATTTCAGGTTTTGATCAGTAATGGGGTCTGCATTTCCCTTTTCAAGCATCCTTCCTTTTAATCAAATATTAAAATTTGTTATGAAGAGCAAACACTTCACTTTTGTTTAGAAAAGCAAAATCTGTCTGGCAGTATGTCATGAACATCAATTAACCACTTTTGACTATACTTTTCTAACAATATAACCTGAGGTTTTCATTTCACCATATATTATTAAATTTCCATAAAAGTCCAGACGGTCACCCGTCAACAACAATTAAATGTGAGAACAAGAAAGTCTCTTGTGTAGATTATGTGTCAGTGTTAATTTGTTGTAATTTTGCCTTTATTCAATGCATATCAATGGTTTATTCTTTAGAAAACATCACGCTTTGTATAACTTCAAAGAATTTTGCTGCAGCAAGGATAATAATCTCAACAATAAAGTGCTACTTGATGTGCTCATATTTGTACCAGTTGTCCATATATTGTTCAAAGCATAGCTCCGATTTGTTTGATTTACCATCTGGGGTGTTTACAAGCACTTTGGTTTTGAGATGCTGGTCATTGTCACACTTCTGGGTTATAAACTGGAAGCAGTTTTCAGCCTAGTACCTTTATAAGCTCAAACACTAGCCCTTCTCCTACTGCAGAGACCAGCTCTGAGAGCAATTTAAGTGTAAGATGATAGCGGTTGTATGTGAAAATAAAGAGGGGAAAATAGCTGGTGAATAAAGATCAAAATACCTGAGGGTGCTTTTCGCATTTCTTTCACTAGGGAATCTGCAAATTCGATACAGCCTGGGAGGCACCAAAGAGCCATATAACATTGATGTTGACCACAGAAACATGGCAAATGGACAGCCGCATACTGTTAACATCACACGGAATGGACGGGACATAGTGCTGCAGGTAAGCAGACAGTAAAGGTTGCTTGATTCCATTACTTGTAGCTTGGAGCGTTTTGTATCTTGATGGTCTCCATCCCTTTGAAGATACCAGTGCCATTTAGGAAATGAAAAGTACAGTAGATGGGGTTCTGCTCGCAGATCGCACTCCTACGCATTAACAAAACCTATTTTCTCCTGCTATTGCATCGAGTCATGTTGTTCTGAAATCCTCATTCTAGTGTGATGACAGCTGGGCTTCTACAGGTGTCACTGTAGATGCTTGAGGGCATCAGAGACATCTGGGCTGGTAGATAACATGGGACTTAGGATAAACCTGCACTGTTCTGGAGCAGCATCTGGAAGCCAGGAGGGATACCCTACGGCATCTTAAATGGCAGTAGAGCCTGATGCACAGACAACTAAATATCATGCCATAAGTCCTGAGTCGGCAAATGAGAATGCCTTTAGATTTAAATTTACCCTGCAGTCCAGTGAAATTGGAAGAGGTGTTCTGCGAAGATGAGCAGATGCTTAAGTGTTTGCGTGACAGGAGTCTAAGAGAATATTATTGAAGGCACATAGCTCTGGCTTATTTAGTTTTTAGTACAGCACAGGCAGGAATTTCATCTCTCCGTATCTCAGTTTACAAACCTTTGAGATAATATAATACTATTTAAATAACTGAGGGGAGCACTGCAAGAAGCAATCAATGTTTCTAGACAGCTTTCTCTCTGTGGTCATTACAGCACTCTCTTTTCATTCCCTGGTTGTCACATCTGCAAACATGGAGATTGCAGCAGGGTATGAGAACAGTTTTGTTGGCAGGAGACTCAGGTAGATGGGATAGATTAATCTGGATTTGATAGTTCATAAGCAGCAAACCAAAACCAATAACAAATGAAATATAAAAAGGGGAAGTCTTCTTGGGAACCAAGCCAAAAGGTGAAGCATAGTAGCTGTCACAGTATTATCTACCTAAAGATTAAAATAGATCCCTGACAGTTATTGTTTCAAGGCATCAAAAGAAAACCTTTTCAGTGCATTACAATGTCATTTGACCGAGGTTCTTGGTACTTAGAATAACACTGGATGCATTGAAGTAGAATTGACATAAAATTAGAAAATTTGGAAAATGCAAGAATAGGGAAAGCAGGGACCCATACAAAGAAAATCCAGAAAGCCTACCCCTACTGTATCCTGAAACAGAAGATTTTTATCAATTTTGTTTATTCTTGTGGTGGGTTGACTTCGGCTGACCGCCAGGTGCCCACCAAGCACTCCCCTCCTCAACTGGACAGGGGAGAGAAAAATATAATGAAAGGCTCGTGGGCTGAGATAAGGACAGGGAGATCACTCAGCAGTTACCATCACGGGCAAAACAGACTCAACTCGGGAAAATTAATTTAATTTATTACCAATCAGATCAGAGTAGGGTAATGAGAAATAAAACCAAATCTTAAAACACCTTCCCCCTACCCTTCCCTTCTTCTTGGGCTCAACTTCACTCCCAAATTCTCTACCTCCCCACCAGCAGCACAGAGGGACGGGGAATAGGGGTTGCGGTCAGTTCATCACGCATTGTCTGGGCTGCTCCTTCCCCCTCAGAGGGAGGACTCCTCGCTCTTTTCCCCTGCTCCAACGTGGGGTCCCTCCCACAGGAGACAGTCCTCCACGAACTTCTCCAGTGTGGGTCCTTCCCACAGGCTGCAGTCCTTCAGGCACAGACTGCTCCAGCTTGGGTCCCCCGCAGGGTCACAAGTCCTGCCAGCAAACCTGCTCCAGCCTGGGCTCCTCTCTCTCCACAGAGCCACAGGTCCTGCCAGGAGCCTGCTCCAGCACAGGCTCTCCATGGGGTCACAGCCTCCTTTGGGCATCCACCTGCTCTGGTGTGGGGTCCTCCACAGGCTGCAGGTGGATATCTGCTCCACCGTGGATCTCCATGGGCTGCAGGGGGACAGCCTGCCTCACCATGGTCTGCACCAGGGGCTGCAGGGGAATCTCTGCTCCGGCACCAGGAGCAACCCCTCCCCCTCCTTCTTCACTGACCTCGGTGTCTGCAGGGCTGTTTCTCTCACATATTCTCACTCCTTTCTTCCAGCTGGTGTTGCACAGCAGTTTTTTCCCCTTCCTAAATATGTTATCACAGAGGCGCTGCCACCATCACTGATGGGCTTGGCCTTGGCCAGCAGCAGGTCTGTCCTGGAGCTGGCTGGAACTTGCTGTCAGACATGGGTGAAGCTTCTGGCATCTTCTCACAGAAGCTGCTCCTGCAGCCCCCCTGCTACCAAAACCTTGCCACACAAACCCAGTACAATTCTCCATAAGGAAGTTGGTTTTGTTACTTATCTGGTTACATTCTGTACACGAGAGCACTGATATGAATGGAAAAGGATCTGTTAAGTAGATTGTTCACTTCAAAATGAGTCCCATTTTCAAATATAAACTCTTCACAGTGTTTCAAAATACAGAAGATAGGAATACATTTTTTCTCAGTATCCAGTGGACAAATCATAAAATATGAGTCTTCTTTTGCAGATCTGAGCAATGAGCATCTGAGTAGACTTTTATTTCCTGTTAAATCCTTCTCCAAGCTGATGAGCAGCTGGTTTGCTTGCTTTTAAAGAAGACAGCTTGCTTGCCAGGTGCTGTTGCTCACACTTCCACATCTCTACATGGCATAAAAGTGTCACAAGAAGGATTTATTTCTCATCAAAGCTTCAATTCAAGAGCACTCAGTTAGTATTTTTGAGATCTTAACAGCAAGTTCATACTTAGAATACCTGTCTTTCTGACTTACTGTAATAACCCTGTAGTGCCAGGGAGATTTAAAAAATCTGCAGCCAGGCAATAAATTGCTACCATATGAACTAAGTGAACCTGAGTTTTATCATGATTCTCAGGAGTTTCACTTATATATAAATACAGTAAAAGACTCATTATTGAACTCTATGAGACCTCACCCGATGCTGGCAGACGGGAGACCACTGATTACTTACATGAAGTCAGAGTTACTGTCCAATCAGTCAGAATTTGAAGTGAGCTTTGAAATAAACATATCCACAATATTATATATCCATAAGGTAACAAATAAGCATAAGAACAAATATTTAGTGTGAATTGTTTTCATTAGAATGATATCCCTATTCCTAACATATCCAGACAGTCAAGACTAAAGGTAGTAGCAAAGACTCTGTCAAGAGGTTTTTATATTTCAGTTTTCTACATTCATTGACTGCAGACAAATCAATGTTCTACATTAAATATCAAGCTCCTATTTGTGATGCCAGTGGTTTCTCAAAGATAAGATTAAGGATATACAGTTCATTTAGGAAAAGCAAATGGCATAAATTCAGGGACAAAGATCTGCTTATTTTGTATTATTTCCGTGAGATGGGCAAAACTACATTTGCTAATAAGAATTCCCATCTCTCGCCTCTAGTAAAATACCAGATACTAGTAACCATGGCACACCTCCAAGGCTTCATTAGTTCACCTGTGGCAAGAAAAAGCCCAGACTGACAGATGGGGAATGCATTATCCCAGTAAATGACATTTCAAGAGCTGAGCTTTAGGTCATGGAGGGCAAGTTTTACTTTGTTTGACTTCATTAAAAGGTTTCATGCTTCAGCAGGGTATTTTCCATATCATAAAAAACAGATCACTCTTTACCAAGTGTTCATGGATGATTAACGCTATTCACACATCAGTAAAATCTTCTTTTAAGAAAGTCAAGGACAAAAACTCCCTAGCAGAGGCTCTGACCCAAAGCCCGTTGAAGTCAATGAAAGGCCTTCCATTGACTCCAGCAGGCTTTAAATTGTACCTTGAAGAACTGCAACAGTTGCATGCTTAGTGCAAGACTCATACCTCCTGCTTGTGTGCCTGTCCCCAGAGTAAAATAAGGGTGGAATCTGGATCAGAGACGTTTCTGTTCTGTTGCACAAAACAATATCAGCATGTTACAAAGAAAAAAAAGAAAAAAAAAAGCCATATGAGGTGCTTTAATTTTCAATGGAATAAAGCTGACATAGTCAACAGACTTGGACTGGGCCTCTCAGCTTCCATACTAAGATAGTCCTGTAGATTTTCAACAGATCTCCAGTTCTTCATACTTGCTTTAAAGCCCTTTCTAGGAATCGGTTATGTCTCACAGCTTCTAATGCCGCCTTTGTTCCTGAAAAGGATTAGACCTGAGCAACTTCTTCAGGACTCCAGTGTCCCAAACCCATCCATATACTTTCAGGAGGACTATCAGCAGCCAGTGCCCATCTGCTCAGAAGACCGTATGGAAGGATAGCTGACAGTTCTCTCTTTCAGGCTTGAACAATATGGAGAGCTGTGGTAGAGAGGCTGTACACAACAATACCATATATTCACAATGTTAATTGCTGTCTCCATTCAAAGCAAACTTAATTATGAGGCTTTATGGAAATCTTGACCTCAGCTCAAGTGTTCATAAGATTGAGAATAATCCAGAAAATTTATTTGTACAGATCTCCATTTTCCAGCTTCACCAGGGGCAAGCAGTAGAAATACCCGTCTTCTGTGAAAAATAATCAGTGAAATATTTGACCCTTACCCAAATGAAACCAAGAAGAAACAGAATTTTTGCAAGTCCTTTCTCTTATTTCCATTTTGAACTCTGCACTACTTGAAAAAAGATAACATTTGCAAACTCCTAGATGCTTAAAAAATGTAAATCATACGAAGTTAATTCAAAACTCATCTGAAGTACAAAATAAAATGGTAAACGTAATAGCAACAAAATAAAATGGATGAAGTAGAGCAAAGCAGTCTACATATAATCCCAAGCTTAAATGCAATGAATATATCAAAGATTTTTATAATTGTAGATTAAATTTTGGTCTCATTAAAGGGAGTGGGAACTTTCTCATAGACTTCAGTGAAGCTATAATTTCACCTCCTATCATTATTGTTGCTGTAGAACATACCTAGCTATCGTGTTTCATATATTTTGAAGCCTCATCAGAATATGATCACTCTGTTTGAGCTGTTGCTTAA